AGACTAAGACGTAGTAGCTTGACTACATTTTGACATATGAAAAACATGTGGCTCAAAGATAACAGATCAATACTAATCCAGGAGATGGTGCCAGGAAATCCTATGCACCATAACCACTACAGCTAGCTTTCATGGTTGTTATGATGCTTAGAGTGCCTCTTTAATTTATTCACCAATAAAAGTTAAATTGTGCTTCTGCTCAATAATTGATAAAACCTGTAAGTGGTTGAGAGCAACGGCTAATTAGCAGAAGAAAGCTAGCATTGGAACCAGTAGGAACTAGTTGTATGGGACACATAGCGAGATGTAGTCTGAAATTGACAGGAAAACAAAGGAACCAGCATGTTCTGCAGGTCATACATTTTAGTTCTGTGAATGGTCTCTACATTAAACAAAGGCTGAAAAGTGTGGGCACCTTGAACTGATTTTTTTTTTTTTCATAAAATTTCACAAATGCCCTTCATGACCATGGTGGGCCTCAAAACAATACTCAGTGTGGTGGCGATGAAACAGATGAAAGTACTACATTTACATATCACTGTTCACACAATCCTTGTAAAGGTTATTCTTGATAAATCAGGCTTCCGACCAGATCTGTAGAAGTGGGGAGATTAGAGAGCATTTCTTGTCCGTCTGATTTATGACAGCCTCTGGCATGTACTCTGGCGTTAGCTGTGATGTTTTTAATTAATCTGACCATTTTTAGGAGACAGATGCCAGGCTGCAACCAGTGCAGTACAAAGATATTTAGGGAAGTAAAGTAACAAAACTGTGTCTGTCGCCTTCACACCTTTCTGCCAAGATAAAACTGGACCTGACAAATGCCTCTTTGTAAGCTTCAATTAACCAGTTAGTTCCTCATTCCTGTTCACACTAATTGGCATAGAGCCCTCTTGTCAGTCTACTGTAAAGAGACAAGACATATATACACAGTTCATTGATTCAAAACAGTCCAATTGCAAACACTGGGCAAAATAATGGCTGAGGATTTATTATTGCAAATTAGAAATATATTCTATTATTAAACAGGAAACAGTTATTTTACATTGTTCACGTTGATAAATGATTTAGTAAACCAGAGGTTAATGGAACCACATACAATATTTGTTTGGAAAAAAATTTAGCAAAATAAATATAAATAAAAAACACCTTAATTAAACAATGGGCAATATTTAATAATTCGTTAATAGTTGGCCCTCACGTAGGTGTGACACACATTATGAAAACTGATACTGCCTACTTCACTTGTCTCTATGAGGTATATCCATCTTGCTATAAAGACAAAACCACAATAATGCCAAGAGTGGAATAATATATATAAAATAATAGGATATTTGTGTTCCAAGAGGCTGAAAGAATTCTGCATGGTCGACAAACCAGCCATTACTTTTAATAGTGGAAGAAGCAATTAGTACATTTCATGCGTTAACAGAGATTATGCCCATATTCAGGAAACCTTACCTTGGCATGAACACTGAAAGTAAATTATGCAGAATGTGCAGTGGCCAAAACGCAACACATTAACACTCCTAAGCCTGCCTAGTCTTGCCTTTAAAAAATGTTTTACAGACATGCTTACATTTTTCCCTTATAATGACTACTTGTAAAACTAAGTTTTAAGGAAAAAATAAAAATTAACAAACATGAGAAAGGAAAAAAAAACAACCTGTTTTTAAATCATCTACTTAATCTCAATGTTACATAAAATGGAATGGCTTTAGTCATGGGTAGGCAATCTTTTAGCAGTACTGGGCCAAATGAATATTTTGAAGTCACTTGGCGTGCCAGTACTATTTTTTTAAATTGAGGTGTGTATGTTGCCGTATTCTGCCTGTGTTATTTGTGGATACTGCAATTGCTTTGTAGCATTGTATTTTTGCCTATGTGTGATGTTACATTGTCTAAAATACGTTCATGAGTAGTTTGTGGCATTGTGTATCATACATATGAATGTGGACTGTTTATGGGAGATGCTTGTGGGATTATATGTGGGATTATGTGTTTGTGTGTATATATGTGTTTGTGTGTGCATGTGGATAGTCCGTAGTGTTGTGTTTGTGAGGACTGTATGTTTGTGTGTAGACAGTTTCTTTTATTTGTATAAGTGGGAGGCTTATTCTTCAGCTCTGTGTTTATTTAGTAGCATGAGTAACTTCCCCACTAGGCAGTGGCATCACTAGGGTTGGCGTCACTAGCGTTGGTGTCACCCGGTGCAGTAACTAATGGTGTCACCCCAACCCTCTTAATAATGTGTTTTTGTTTTTTGTTTTTTTACTAATGTAACTCGTAAATCATAACTCCCATATGACACTAAATGTAATAGTGATAATAGTGTAATAGTGATATTAACAACTAGGAAAATTAAAATGACCTTTAAATTCCAATATCGTATGAAAATAATAGAATTTGAGCTGTGGGCACAGCGGCATGATGCATCCGATCCAGAGGTGACTCCATTGCAGGTTAGAGGTTACTAAGTAAAGATCCTGCCTGGCTGGTGTCAGTGGTGTCACCTAGGGCCGGTCTTAGGTGTTCAGATGCCTTGTGCGAGCTAATCTTGTGGTGCCTCCCCACTCTCGCCATCTGTTTGGAGGCGGTACAATCACAATCTGCTGCCTCCACCCCTTCTACAAAACCCTGCCCTCCTTCACCAAACCCCTGCCCCCTTTCATCAAACCCATGGCCACCCCTTCATCAATTCCCTGCCCTCTTCATCAAAACCCTGTCATCCCCTTCATCAAGTTCCCTGCCCCCTTCATCAAATCCCCAGCCCACCTTCACCAGTCCCTTGCCGCCTTTACCAATCCCCAGCCCACTTCACCAGTCCTCAGCCCCCCTTCACCAGTCCCCAGCCCCCATTCACCCCTTTACCAATACCCTGCCCCCCTTCACCAATCCCCTTTACCAATTCCCTGACCCCCTTCACCAGTCTCCTTTACCACCTTGCCCCTTCATGAAATCCCCAGCCCCCCTTTACCAGTCCCCTGCCCCCTTCAGCAGTCCCCAGCTCCCCTTCACAAGTACTCAGCCCCCTTCAATAAAACCTAATTTATTTAGTAAAAAAAAAAAAGGCAATAGGAACAAGCACTCATATTAAAGGCTCCTGCTCCCTGGATCCAGCTGTCAGTTTCCTACGCCGCCGAGTCACAGACTGAAGAGCACCGGCCGCCGCCCTCACACACACTGAGCGGATTCTTCTGCAGCACCCAGAGAAGGCGGAGCACGTCTATGTTGCGCCCCCACGCTCCTCCTCCTCCACACACCGGACCTCTGCATCACCCATGTGGATTCCCGGCCGCGGATCTCCTCTCGCCATTCGCAAGTCAAGTGCACAGTACCACTAGGCACTTGACTTGCTCTGTACTGCAGACACATAACTCGGGCCAGTCTGTGAGTGACAGACTGCGAGCTGTGTTGGCCACCCAGTGCCCCTGTTGCCAGGGCAGTCTGTGCAACTGCACAGCTCGCACATCCCAAAGGCCTGCCGTTGTGTATGCCCCCTTCCCCCAGGATTCACACCCTGCACTCCCCTTGTGACACCACTGCAAGTAGGAACCGGGCTAGCCAGGTACAGGTCAAGGGCAGGAGCTGCAATATCTGATGTAGGTTGCTCTACTCCAGTACAGGGATATAGTGATCTGAGATCACTTCCTCTAAATGCTGCAATGCGTAAATTGAGGATTGGCCTTCACCATCTGCAATCATCACTCGGTTTGCACTAAGGACTCCTGATGGACCGTGCCTGTTTGGCTCTGGTAGCCTTGAGTGCCATACAAAGGCACCCAGAGTGCCATGCATGGCACACGTGCTGTAGGTTGCTGACCACTGGCTTAGGTAAATATTCCAAAAAAGAAAGGAAATGGCAGACTACAATATATATATATATATATATATATAAAATCAATGTTACAACATTGTATATTTAGTATTATTTATTTCTTATAGAGATTTGAAGCAAGCTATAACACTCTTCATGCAATCTATGAAGCTGATTAATTAAGTATATCAGCCTGCAATAAATTCACCATAACTAATAGACCACCTCGAACAATAATGTGCTGATGGGGACATCCATTTGCCCTTTTTGAGAATGTACCATTCACTGGTTCTTCTCTTGTTTTGGGTATTATTTATTATTATATTTTTTACATGCAGACCAAAAATAATGTATTTTATGTATTGTATATGTTTAAATTATATATATATATATATATATATATATATATATATATATATTAAGAAATACATATAGATATGAGCTTCCTTGAGTGCTTTGGCAAAGTACAGCACCATTCCCTCCTCCCCTTAGTTGAAGCAGTGAAAGAGTTCAATTATTATTAGTTAGCGTTTTGTGTTTTTATAGTAAAATTTTGAATTTTAATTAAATTTTTTAAGTGTTTCTAATTGTTTCCTCTAATGTTGGTTCTATCAAGTGCTATTTAGCCCAAGGTAGAGTTATCAATAAAATGTGTTTACCATTGTGTAGTTTTTACTATGCCTGGTGAGTTGTTTGGGAGTTTAGATGTTACGTTGAACCTGTCATGGTATACACCTTAAGCTAAAATGAATGAATTAGATTTAATCTAAATATTGTGTTTGGCAAAAAATGCTAACAAAAGTATATATTTGATTTGAATACTTCTTAAAGCTTCAGCTCCTCTGCAACCTGTCAATCTTTGATATAGATCCCTCTATGTCTGCAGCATACAGATCTGAGCCAAGGACTGAAGGCACCAGGAGAACCCTTTAGGTCAGTGATGGCGAACCTTTTTAAGCCTGAGTGCCCAAACTGCAATACATGCCAACTTTTTTTTCCTCAAAGTGCCAACACCGCAATTAAACCTGAATACTGAGGTTTACGTTTAGAAAAAACAACTCGTACAGTTGTCCGAACTAATTAACAACTTTTGTTTTAAAAAAAGAACACAACAGAGAGTTCAATGATACAAATTTTAAATGATATAAATAGATAAAATTAAGCTTATATTTATTAGTATCTCCAACAAATGCAATACATACACACAGACTGCTGAACACATTCACACACCGACTGCTAAATACATACACACACCGGCTACTAAATACACACACACACAGTCCGCTAAATACACACACACACAGTCCGCTTAATACACACACACACACACACAGTCCGATGAAAACACACACACACAGTCCGCTAAATACACACACACACAGTCCGCTGAATACACACACACACAGTCCGCTGAATACACATACAGACAGACTGCTGAATACACATACAGACAGATTGCTGAGTACACACAGACTGCTGAGTACATACACACAGTCTGCTGAATACATACACTGCTGAATACACACACACAGACTGCTGAGTACACACACAGACTGCAAAGTACATACACACAGACTGCTGAGTACATACACACAGTCTGCTGAATGCATACACACAGACTGCTGAATACACACACACAGACTGCTGAGTACACACAGACTGCTGAATACATACACTGCTGAATACACACACACAGACTGCTGAATACACACACACACAGACTGCTGAATACATACACACACAGAGACTGCTGAATACATACACTGCTAAATACACACACAGACAGACTGCTGAATACACACACAGACTGCTGAGTACACACAGACTGCTGAATACATACACTGCTGAATACACACACACAGACTGCTGTACACACACACACACACACAGACTGCTGAATACACCCACAAAGACTGCTGAGTACATACACACAGTATGCTGAATACACACACTGCTGAGTACACACAGTCTGCTGAATACATTCACACACACAGTCTGCTGAATACATACACACACAGACTGCTGAATACACACACAGACTGCTGAATACACACACATACAGACTGCTGAATACACACACATACAGACTGCTGAATACACACACACATACTGCATTGAGGGGTGCAGTGTATGTGTTTCTGTGTAAGGGTGTGGAATACTGTGTGTGTGTCTGAGGGGTGTTGTGTGTGAGGGGGGCTGTGTGTGTGGGGGTGCTGTGTGTGGGGGGGGTGCTATGTGTGTGTGGGGTAGGGGTGCTATGTGTGTGTTGGAAGGGGTGCTGTGTGGGAGGTAGGGGTGCTGTGTGGTGGTAGGGGTGCTGTGGGGGTAAGGGGTACTGTGTAAGGGTAGGGGTGCTGTGTGAGGGTAGGGGTTCTGTGTGGGTATGGGTGATGTGGGGGTAAGTGTGCTGTGGGGGGGTAGGGGTGCTTTGCTGTGGGGAGTAGGGGTGCTGTGCTGTGGGGGGAAGGGTACTGTGTGTGGGGGGTTGGGGTGTTGTGCTGTGTGGGGGCTTGGGGTGTTGTGCTGCATGTAGGGCTGCTATGCTGTGTGGGGGGTAGGGGTGCTGTGCTGTGTGTGGGGGTAGGGGTGTTGTTGTGTGATAGGGGTGCTGTGCTGTGTAGAGGGTAGGGGTGTGGGGGTAGGGGTGCTGTGGGGGGTAGGGGTGCTGTACTGTATGTGGGGATAGGAGTGCTGTATGTGGGGAGGGGTGCTGTATGTAGGGGAGGGGTGCTGTGGGTGGTGGGGGGTGCTGTGCTGTGTGGGGGGTAGGGTGCCGTGTGCTGTATGTGGGGGTAGGGATGCTGTATGTGGGGGTAGGGTGTGGGGGTGGGGTGGCTGTGTGGGGGGGTGCCGTGGCTGTATGTGGGGGGTAGGGATGTTGTATAGTGGGGTGGCTGGGGGCTGTGGGGGTAGGGTGCCGTGCTGTATGGGGGGGTAGGGATGTTGTATGTGGGGGTAGGGGTGCTGTGGGTGGTTGGGGTGCTGTGCTGTGTGGGGGTAGGGGTGCTGTGGGGATAGGGGTTCTGTGAGTGGGGGGTAGGGGTGCTGTGCTGTGGGGGGTAGGGGTAAAAATACATTTAAAAAAAAGATATATTCATTCTGTATCCTCCCCCTCCCTTCCTCTTACCTTTGGTGAAGGAGAGGGGGGACACAGCCATCGCCGGTGGTCCGGTGGTGGTAAGTATGTTTCTGGCAGCTAGGAAGCAGCTCTCCTGTCCTCCCGTGCGATGGTGTGTTGAGCGTTGCCATGGTAACGCACGGCAACGCTCCACACAGCATCGCGCAGGAGGACAGGAGAGCTGCTTCCTAGAGCCCTCCCCCTGTCCTCCCAACACGGAAGCAGAGTAGGCGCCTGCCGTTTTGGGCAGGCAGGTGCCTATTCTGCAGACAGCCAGCGGCCCCCTCTCCTGATGACCTATGGCCGCGTGCCAACAGAGAGGGCCCGGCATGCCATAGGTTTGCCATCACTGCTTTAGGTGGTTCTCCTACTCCTGGTCACAATTTCCCAAATTCCCAAGCAAGTATTTTGCACATTTGCTGGATGAATATACACTGATGTGGATGTGCGTGCAGAGAAACCAGCATGCTAGGACCATTAGAGAGAAATGCACAGCTTGGGAAGGTGTGCTCAAGCAGAAGACAAATGCTTTAAGTCAGAAATGAACAGAGATATCCTTGCAATGAACGGAAAACTACTTATTTGCCCTCTCCTTATACAGCATCACTCTCAACAACTCTGTTTCTATGCAATAACTAAGACAAAACAACTGAGGCTGCATTCTGATAATGTCACAACAATGTTTTATCAGAAACACAACTGTGTGCAGGGGCGCAGTGCAATAGTTCTTTTATGCAAGTATAACGATAATTATCAATATTTATTTTGTTTTCTTCTCCTGATTGACATTAATGTGTGCTTTGTACCATTGTTCGTCCCAATTAACTTTTTATGAACCCATGCAAGTTTCATGAAATGTTTTATATTGCCTGTCCTTAAAATTATCTTCTGTAATTAACTAAACTTTACTGTTTCATTTTTTTCCATGAATTTGCAATGTTAAAGATTTTATCTTGAATTGTATCTGCAACATAACTGTCTGTGCTCCAGCTGAAAATACAGTCTTCATGTTTTCGTTTAACCCCTTAAGTACTGGACTGTTTTTGCGATGTTGTACATTTGCGACCAGGCCTCTTTTTACACTTTTGTGGTGTTTGTGTTTAGCTGTAATTTTCCGCTCTCTCACTTACTGTTCCTATACAAATTATATATTGTTTTTTTCAGGACAAAAGGGGCCTTCTTTACGTACCATCATTTATATAATCCCATGTAATTTAATTTAAAAAAAAATGAAAAAATATGATGAAAAATTAAAAAAAATAATTTTGACTTTTACTTGAAAAATCTTTTACTCATTCACAATAGTGAATGAAAACAACTGCTAAATAGATTCAAAATTTTGTCCTGAGTTTAAAAATAACCAGTGTTTACATGTTTTTTGCTTTTTTTGCAAGTTATAGGGCTATAGGTACAAGTAGGATATTGCGGTTTCAAAACATACATTTTTAAAATGTATCAATAGTGACATTGTAACACTATTATCTGTCATAAATCTCTGAATAACACCCCACATATTTTTTTTAAAGTAGACAACCCAGGGTATTCAATATGGGGTATGTCCAGTCTTTTTTAGTAGCCACTAGTCGAAAACACTGGCCAAAGTTAGCATTCATATATGTTTGTGTGTGAAAAAAAGTAAAAAACTAAACTGAACGCTAATTTTGGCCAGTGTTTGTGACTAAGTGGCTACTAAAAAAGACTGGACATACCCCATTTGCAATACTTTGGGTTGTCTTCTTTTGCAAATGGTGGGCCATCATGGGGGTATTTCTCATTCCTGGGCTACCATATGCTCTCAAAGGCTACGTAACCAACCTAGCCTTTTTCAATGTAAAAATATTTGACCCATATATTTGACCCTGTAACTTTCAAAAACGCTATAAAACCTGTACATGGGGGGTACTGTTATACGGGAAACTTTGCTGAACACAAATATTAGTGTTTCAAAACAGGAAAACGTATCACAACAATTATATCATCAGTAAAAGTGCTGTTTGTGTGTGAAAAATGCAAAAAAAGGCACTTTCACTAACAATATAATCGCTGTGATATGTTTTACTGTTTTGAATCACTAAGATTTGTGTTCAGCAAAGTCTCCCGAGTAAAACAGTACCTCCCAAGTACAGGTTTTAGGGTGTCATAGAAAGTTACAGGGTAAAATATACTGCTAGCAAATTAAATTCTCTGGACTTTCGGCATGGGTTGGCAGGCAGGTCCCTCTAATTGCAATCAATAAAATTACTTAATTATGTAAAAATATTACATAAATACGCACGTAGAATTTAAATATATATGCATATTTATATATTTGAAGTCTACGTGTATATTTATATAATAATTTAGGTAATTTTGTATATGGACATATGTATATTTCGTATTATTTTTATTTATTTATATACACATAGATATATATACAATTTCATTATAAGTGTATTTTGATATAAATATATATATATATTACTATCAAAATAAAGTTAGAATAAAATTTCATATAGATATATTTTTTTTTGAAATTTTAATTATTATTTTTACATGTTTTTATTTAATGTAAATTACTTATTATTTGTATTTTATAATAATATTTATATACAATATATATAGTTATTATATATATATATATTATATATATACGTGTGTAATTTAATTATAAGTGTATTTTTATATTAATATATGCACATATTAATATAAAAATACACTTAGTATGACATTATATATATATATGATATATAGACATATATATAATATATGTCTATATATTATACATATATATATATATATACACACACACACATATATAATATTTTTTTTATGAACTTTAACTTTCATTTTTTTTTATGATTTTACACTAGCAGGGAGACTGCCTGTCAGCACAGCCAGTCCTCCTGCAGGCAGACACATGGACCCCTATTGTGACCATGTGATTGCTCTGTTGAGCGATCACATGGCCACAGGGGTCCTAATCCGCCATGGGGAGACTGTCTGGGCTGCAGGCAGTCTCCCCAACACGGGAGCACCGCCGATTGCCGCCGGGGGAACGACGGCGATCGGGTAAGTACATTGGACCGTTAGGACGGTTCAGGACCATCACCGGTCGGCAACGCAAAAATGCCGATGACGGTCCTGAACCGTCCTCGGTCCTGAAGGGGTTAATGCATTAGGTTTACATCATTTGGAAACATGGCCTTGGAATCCTAAACAACGTTAAAAGAATGGAACAAAGGATCAAATAACTGAACACTGATGTAATGCAGCGTAACAGAAATGAGAAATAAGGACAGGTAGAGATTCAGATTATCTGGCCACAAATAAACGCTCCAGGTCCTGACAGACCATAAAGTGATAAAAGAATAAAGTTGACACAATTAAGTCAATGTAACAGTCATGTTGACATTGATCAAACAGGTGGGGTTCAAACAAGGTCAAGGTCAAAGAGGCATGGTCAGGGTAGGCTAAAAAGGGGAAGTAATGAGGTCAAATCAAAGGAATAAAATGTACGCACAAGGCGAAAAAAGAATCTTTGATAAAATGACACCTGTTTCTAGTTAATAAGATAAAAGAAACTATTACATCTTGCACATGTGGTCAACAAGTCTCTGACAATGTTAATATTATTTGTATTCTGTTATATTGTAGATAATTTGGTCAGCAGTGAAATAACGTGTCTTATTAGCTGTAAGAAAGTTGTAAAATATTTTAGACTTACAATATTGTGATAAAAAGTATAATATCTATAGATAAAAGTAATAAAGTACTACTAATAGAAAAAGCTTTTAGTCTGTCTATCTATGGATCAACATTCTGTTTCATGTATTTTATTTGTCTAATGGCTTATTTTATTTGGATATTAAGTAGTTTCATCAGGAGAACCACCATGGAAACATTTTTGTATCAATAAATAATATTATTCCATGAAGGTCTTTGGCGATTAAAATGATATCTATAATTCAGGAAAAATCAATGAAAAATAAAATATATTGATTAAAGATAATTTTCTGTTCTCTTAGCTTACTCCTTGACTTGATTGACTTGACTCTTCTAAAATACAGGAT